CTGCCGGGAATGCCTCTTCGGCAGTGGGTGCTGCCTGCTGCAGCCGAGGGGACGGGGCTCGGCTCTCCCAGAGCAAACTGCGTTTTCTTCCCACTGCTTGTTTTTCCACGTCACTTCGTGCATCTTGGAAACTTTCCAGAGGCTTCCAGTGCTTTCACTCGTGTTTTGCAGGGAGGGAAGCGAAGAACGACGGACGAGGTGGCCACGTAACGCGCTTCGTCACAGGCTCTGCCGCGCGGGACCGGAGCCCACCCCGCTGCCGTGACCCGCAGGGACAGCTCCCTCAGCCCAGCACAGCACAACAGCCTACACCGCCCAGAACCGAATCACCACTTAAAAGGATTATTAACTTCCAGCTGCGTTCAGCCTAATTTCCTGTGTGCAACAGCGTGTTTAATTGCGGAGATTCTAATTTACTGTTGCAGAGCACAAGCCCAACTCTAAGCATAAATTAAAATGACAGCTCCATGGGAAGTTTGGAATTTAACTTTCTGACTTATCTGATTTGATGCAGATACAAATATTTAAATCCAGCCAAGGCAACAAACAGCCTGTTTCTAAGAAGTTCCAGCTGGAATGAGGAAAAAGAACTTTGCAGGAAGAGAGGCTGCAACAATTAGTGAATTAGCGCGGCGTCACGCTCCTCGCGGGCACAGACCGTCAGCTAAGCAGAGCTTCAGGGCCAGCACGCGGCACTGCTCCTCTGCAAGACTCCTCTGGGTTTGGTTTTTTGTGGTTTTCCCTCCTTTGGTGAACAAGTACTTTGCTACACTGAGGAGTTGATTTTAAAATCTCTGTACAATTCCCCTGTTCTCTTTGCAAGGAGGGAGGTAAGCACCACGCCTGTCGAGGGAAACGCACTGAGTCTGGGGGGAGATTCGCTGCCAAGAAGGCAACGCTTCGTTTATTCTTTCTTGTAATCACGACCCACGCTGCACCCAGGCCGGGATTCGCCTTGCCCTGCCCGAGCTGCGAAGAGGGGTCCGCAGCCCCAGGGCAGCAGCGAGAGCACCCGCAGGCGGCTCATCCCCTCCCACCCTGACGCACCTTACTTCTGTTGAGGCAGAGTGAAGCTACACTCAAACCGAATTTAAAAAAAAAAAAATAATTTTTAATTTTGCACTCTGATAATTCCCACCAGATTTCTAAAAATGCGTTTTCTCAGGCAAATAAACAGAGTGCTCAAACTTGTAGCGTAACCGTGTCCCACCCACACCCAGCCCCTTCCTGCGAGGGG